TACTGAGAGAACAAACCTGTGAAACTGAAGAAAGAAGAAATCTGTGCTAGTTTTGCTGTCACTCTTCAAAGTACAAAAGTTACGGCCCCGGTGTGTGGCAACTGCCCATTAACATGGAAAAGGGGGACTGGTGGAGTGGCTCAAGTGGCAGAGCACCTGCTGAGCAAGTGTGAGGCCCTGAGTTCAAACCCCAGTACTGCCAAAAAAAAAAAAAAAAGCTGGAAGAGGCGTCAAATTTGTGGGTGGCAGACATGAACAGAAAACACTCTCTGATTGATGGTCACATACTATACAGAAAGCAGGGAGCCTGTGCAGACTCCAGCAAGGGATTCCCTGATCTGGGGACACCGACCATCATACTGCAGAACCAGGTGTCCTCCTGGAGGAGAAAAACCTTCAAGTATGAAAGATTCCTGAGCATCAACACTGTGTGCTCCTGACAGCCAGTGTCAACAGCAGCATGGCGCAACCTTCCAGGGCTGCCCAAAGGAGATAATGTTCCTTCTGACGTAGTGTCAAAGGTCAATGGTAGCCTAGCACTGTGTCACAATGCCTGTGTCATCGATCTCACATCGTCTCGTCACATAGGCACCTTATCGAATCATCACAGGACGAAGGGTGACTACAGTATGTCACTTTGAGAGAGAGATCACATTCACAGAACTTTCATTACGGAAAGCTCTTACAATTATCCCATTTTATTATTGTTAATCTCTTTCTGTGCCTAATTTATAAACTGCATAGAATCTTAGGGGCACGTGTGTATGGGGAATTATGGTACAGTACATATAGGATTGGGTGCTAGCCTTGGTTTCAGGCATCCACTGGGGGTCTTGGAACATATTCCCTGCAGATTGCAGATAACAGGGATGGCTGTGCCCACTGCACGATCCTACTTATATATATACGTCTCAAATTGAACACTACAGTGACAGACAGCAAACCAGGAGGTGACCAGGGACGGAGACAGAAGGAGGGAGGAAATATAAAAAGACACAAAATTTGGGGGATGGAGGACGTACTTGTTACCTTAATCGTGGTGATGGCTTCACAGTGCACACATCCATAAAAGCAATCAAATTACATACTCTCAACATGTATGGTACAAGGTGCTTCAGCTATGACTTAATAAAGTTGGGAAACTGCATTCTCTTGCCACAGGTTAAGCAGGGAGTTTATCCAAGTAGAATCCCACAAATGGCCCTGTCAGTCCTTAAATTAATAAGGTCTTAAGATTACTGAAAATGTCCTAGTCCACTTGAATTTCCCCCTTAAGGAAAAGGTACAGATGGGCAGTGGGCCCAGAAGTAGGAAACCATTGAATAGAGAAAGAAATAAAAAATCTGAGCGGTCAGGAGCCCTGAGAGGACCACCAGATCAAGCCTGAATAGGGTAAGAAATTCATCAGATCAAGCCTGAGGTCAGCTTTCTGAAGTTCTTGGTCATGAGAATTGCAGACCTGATCAACAGGCTTCAAAGGACAATAGCCAAGTTACAGAAACAGCCAAGATGCCTCACCACTGATGAATGGATTAAGAAAATGTGGTATCTATACACAATGGAATTTTATGCAGCCATGAAGAAGAATGAAATGTTATCATTTGCTGGTAAATGGATGGAATTAGAGAACATCATTCTGAGTGAGGTTAGCCTGGCCCAAAAGACCAAAAATCGCATGTTCTCCCTCATATGTGGACATTAGATCAAGGGCAAACACAACAAGGGGATTGGACTTTGATCACATGATAAAGCGAGAGCACACAAGGGAGGTATGAGGATAGGTAAGACACCTAAAAAACTAGCTAGCACTTGTTGCCCTTAACGCAGAGAAACTAAAGCAGACACCTTAAAAGCAACTGTGGCCAATAGGAAAAGGGGATCAGGAACTAGAGAAAAGGTTAGATCAAGAAGAATTAACCTAGAAGGTAACACCCACGCACAGGAAATCAATGTGAGTCAATGCCCTGTATAGCTATCCTTATCTCAACCAGCAAAAACCCTTGTTCCTTCCTATTATTGCTTATACTCTCTCTTCAACAAAATTAGAAATAAGAGCAAAATAGTTTCTGCTGGGGGGGAGAGGGAGGAGGCGGAGTGGGTGGTAAGGGAGGGGGTGGGGGCAGGGGGGAGAAATGACCCAAGCGTTGTATGCACGTATGAATAATAAAACAATTTTAAAAAAACAGGCTTCAGAGGCTCCATCGACACCCTGTATGCGGATTCTTCTGGAAGTATATGTGTTTGGGGGAGGAGGGACAAAGGAGCTTTCATGGTGTAAGAAATGATTACAAAGAAGCCCCAGGCTAGGTGTGGTGGCACATATCTGTAATCCCAGCATTTGGGAGGCTGAAGCAGGAGGATCATGAGTTTGAGGACAGCCTGGGCTACATAGTGAGAACCTGTCTTTTAAAGAAGAGGAATTCCGAAGCTTAAGAACCCCCTAATAATTCATTCCACCAACAGTCAATGACACTTCAGTACATGTGAGGCGTGTCAGGTTCCGGGCTGTTAAGTGGGACATTCTCTCTCTCTCTCTCTCTCTCTCCCCCCTCTCTCTTCCCCCACCCCCGGAACTGTGGTGTTGGAGGACAAACCCAGGTCCTCTCGAATGCTAGGCAAGCGCTCTACCACTGAGCACGTTCACAGTTCAGTTCTTGTGTTATGAAGGGCCCTAGAGTCTAATAGAGATAAAACCCAAAACTATCCATGGGCTGGGTGTGCAGCTCACGCCTGTCATCCCAGTGGGAGGCGTAGGGAGGAGAATGGTCTGAGGCCAGCCCCAGGCAAAGTGGGACCTTACTGAGAAGTAACTAAAGAGGGCTGGCAGAGCGGCTCAAGTGGTAGCATGCCTGCCTAGCAAGGGCGAGGTCCTGAGTTCAAACCCCAGTACTGCAGGGGAGGGGGTAAGTGGGAGGATTCCAGGCAGCATGGTGAAGGACCAAATCTGTAAGTAGACTGGCATATTCAAGGATCCAAGAGGCAGGCAGCAAGTTGGGAGTTTAATAAAAACCCAAGTGGCAGGAAGAGAGGCAAATGGCGTCAGAACAGACACCTTAAAGGCCACCTAAGAGCATCTGGTCTCTACCCAAGCCCTGCAAAGCACTGAAGGGTTTTCAGTAGACCAGGAGGCTGCTGACTGCACCAGTGTGACCTGTTCAAATCCTGGAGAAACGCAGGGTCTGAGGCCAGGTCTCGCATCAGTTAAATCCAGGGCTTCCAGGGCAGCTGAGCTACATGCTGAGGTCAGACAGAATGAGCAGTTTCCAAGGTTCTGGTTTGGGCACAGCTGCTATGGTAACCACCTGGCTAGGCCAGTTTAACCATTCACAGATATTAATTATTCGCTTCATCTCAGCAGAAGGTAATTTCCTGTTCTCCAACCCTGTGAGGTCCAGCGGGCGCACTGATAACTGACATCTCCATGTTTTCAACGGACAAGTGGAATTTGTGCCCAAGTTCGTGCCATGGTTGTGAGTTTTTTGGGCAGAGCAGGGATCAGAACCCTTGGTCAAGTTCATTTCACCTTCCAGTCTAATTAGGTGAAACACTCGTTACTTCCTGGTTTCTAACCTTACAGTCTTATGTGAATTTCTTTTGTACCTTTTTTTTTCCCCCAGTACTGGGATTTGAACTCAAGGTGCTCTGTATCTTGTGCCACGCTCCCAGCTCTTTTACAACTCTTTCCTTGGTGGAGTTGTTCACCTTTTTCTGCATCATTTGAGTCTATAGCTGTTTTATCTTCTTTTCTTTTTTAAAATTTGGTGATAGTGGGTTTTGAACTCAGGGCCTTGCTCTGGCTAGGCAGGTGCTTACCACTTGAGCCATGCCTCCGGCACCTTTTTACTTTAGTTTCTTGGATAGGGTCTTGCACTTCTGCCCAAGGCCAGCCTCAGACCGAAATCCTTCTACATCTGCCTCCTTGTAGCTGGAATGACAGGCTATGGACAAACTGTTGTTTTTGTTTTCAGACTGGGTCTTGCTGTGTTACTCAGGTTGGCCTCGAACTCATAAGCCTCCTGCCTCAGCCTCCCAAATGCTAAGATTACAGGCCTGTGCATTTTAGACACGGAAGCTAACAGATTACTGCAGTTCCTCATTCACCTTCAGACTATGACTAATAAAGGAATGAGATTGAGAAGATAAAAGTTATGAAAATAGCTTGGAGCAAAACAGTAAATGACAAAAGTGTAAAACGGTGGACACCGGTGTGTGTTCCAAGGCTTGTTTTTTAAGGATTTGTACATATGTGCATTTGTTTTCTTCCAGAAAAAGCCCAAGAAGTCAGTAACCTCTCACCACAGGTGACAGGCGGGGTCCTAAACCTGGACCCTTCAGGGTCCAAATCTGTGACACAGCCTTCAAATACCTTTTCTCCTCTCCTTCTCTCTCCCTTCCCTTCCCTTCCGTTTTTTTCCCTTCCTTTTCCTTCCTCCCTCCCTTCCCCATTTTCTTGAGGTGCTGGGGTGGAACCCAAGACCCTGCCCGTGCTAGGCAAGCGCTACAGTTCCTTTCTTCTGATACATCAGATGGCAGGAACTGGGCACCCTCTCCCTCCCACCCTCCACCCACCTCTCTGGCTGACTCCATGTGGAGGACACATGAGAACACAAGGGTGCACAGCTACACCTGGGGGGGATGGGGAGGTTAGTTTGCAACCAGCTTCTTTCAAACACTCTGGGACTGGTGCAGCTCAGGGCTACAGTGCTTGCCTAGCACCAAGGGTGCCCCGGTTCCATCCCCAGCCCACACTGAACATAAAAGCATTCCCAGGCTGAATGGAGCTCTTCTGAGATGCAAGTGTTCACTGGGCAAAAAACTCAGCCTGAGGTCTGACGAGGTTTCTCTCTGGTGCTGCTGTAGTTTGGCCGCCACTGAAGAAGCTGTTCTGGAATGGAGGAACCCTGACCACTCTCCATGCCCCGTGGGTAGAACCCCAACAGCTGCTGCTGCCCACAGGTCTCCTAGGGGGACGTCCCCACTGTGAAGCCCACATCAGTGAGGCACATCACCTGGCATTCTGCATCACTCTGTTTTTATTGTTATTTTATTCAACAATAAGCAAACAGCGGAACTAATGCAACATTAAGCAACTCCAGGCCAGCTTTTCTTACACCTGTCACCCCGCACCCCGCACGGGCCTCAGCACAGGGAGCGGGCCCCCTACTGCTGTTCCCATTCTGCTCTTTAAAGGGACAGAGCAGGACGCTGACATCCTAAGTCATCTGAGATAGGCTGGGCCAAGTTCAGTAGAGACGCAGGCCTCACCAGACACAGAACACAGAGGCAGAGACGGCCCCATAACGACATTCTGCTCCTTTCCTGTAGACCTCGTCTTCTTTCAATTCCGGGCTGCTATTCTTTTAACAATATGATGACCCATTGCGGTACCAAAATATCCCCCCAAACGGAATTAAAACTTGATCAGAACATAAACGGGGATAAGGGACTACCTAGAATCACAGGGACAGGCAGCAGGTAGCTCAGGTGTCACCTGCGCAGGGGAAAGGAGAGGAAGGGCATCTGGGACCACTTCTGCCTGAGTGGCCCTACTTCCCAGACAGCTGCTCATACAACTTGGGCACGTAATCATCCCACTCGGCCTGGTAACATGTGCCAGCCACCGGGGCCCCGAGGTGGTACTTCTTGCGGAAGGCCGCCACCTTGAACTTGCCACGATGGTCTCCAGATCGGTTGCTGAGAATCGGTTCATCACACTTGAGTGGCTTGTCCTGCTGGTACACCAACCAGACATAGCGGTGGAGGCCTGCAGGAGAGGCAGAAGGGAGAACTGCACATGGTAGGCCAGGATGGGGGACACAAGCTCCAGTATACTGGCACCCCGAATGTCACTAAACAACAAAGAGGACTGAGCTATGATGGCAGCAATACCCGGGATGATTTAGACACAATCTTGAGTGACAGAGACCAGCCACCACATAAAATCACCCTGTAACTCTATCTATGCGAATACAGAATTAGCAAATTGGAAACTAGGTCAGAAGATGGTACGCTTTGGGGGAATTTCAGCAAATAGGTCATGAGAAAAACCTGGGGTGACGGAAATGACCTACGTCGATGTGAAGTGTTTACACGTGAGTGCACCAGTTAAGTCTGTTGCCAAAAAGCTTATGATCCATACATTTACTATATGGAAGTTATACCTTACTGAAAAAAGGGAGGGCTACTACGACATTTTCTTTAATGAGCGCGCAGCTCCTTCCTGAGACACCTGCTCTATCCTCATGTGTACCATTCCCATAATTAAATTGCCTAATTGTGTAACTGCCCTGAGAATTTAATACTCCTAGGAAATATGTTCCTTTACCCTCTGCGTTCTGAACACTGTGGGCTTCAAACCATCTGGAAGGTTCTGGATTTACAAATAAAACATGAGCATGTGACCAACAGCCCTGGTCAGGTGCTCCTTGTACCTCTTTGTACTGACTCATGGGGGACACCGTGCACAAAAGCTTCCACTCTGCCATGTGGCACCCGCCACTATCTGCTTGTTCCAGCAAATGGAAACATGGTGTGCAGCACACAAGCAAGAAAGCACCTCCCACCATGAGCTCAGGTCTGCCATGGAGTCTCTCCAGGTCTCATCTGTAGTGTGCACACCAGACAAGACACAGCAGAGAGAAAGAGAAAGAGAAAGAGAGAGAGAGAGAGAAAGAGAGAGAGAGAGAGAGAGAGAAAGAGTGTGTGTGTGTGTTTCTGCTACAGCCCTGCCAACCTTTTCAAAACACCCAACTAGATTCTTGGGGAAAAGAGGGAGCTATAAAGAGTTACATGAGGCAACATTTTTTTGTTAATTAATTTGAAAATTATGATCATTTCTGAGACTTTTTATAGTAATTAGAAACTCAAAACAAACAAAAAAATCACACAGGGCAAAAGCCCATGTGAACAGAGATAGCTTAACTGTGTTCAACTCATGAATAGTCCCTTAGAAAGCCATTCTACAGTCTACATCATTGTTCTCTTCCCCCCAACTTCCATGCTAGTAAAGGTTCAGAGCCCAAAGATGGTTTCTACACAGAGGGTCAGTCCAATCTAACCCAGTTCTAGGCACCCATCACTCCTGTGGGTCTGAATGTGCCCCAGAAGGCAGCTGCCTTAAAGGGACACCAGCAGCCTTTATTTCCAGTAGGGCAGGGACCTCATAAATAAAAAGATTCCAGCTTTAGAAGCCAGACAGCAACTGGCAGCACTGTGCGCCTATCTGAACATGCACCAAGCCTCCTCTGCTGCCTCCAGAGAGCAGCCTTTACTGACCTGTGCCACTAGGAGGCCCGGAGCCCACATAATCGGAGAGGACAGTTCCACTGCTGATGTCATTCCCCTTCATGTTGACCACCAGAAAATGGTGCCATTCCCTGTGTGGAAGAACACAAGCTGGCAGGTGTGCAAGGGGCACTGTGCCGGGGCACAGCCATGAACCAGATAACCCCTGCTTTTCCCGGCCAGTGCAAACCTGAGTGTGCAAGAGAGAACTCAGCCCCTGCTGGCTCTGAGATGAGGATGGGGGACAGCAAACTTCCTCTGCAAAGTCCCAGACTCATTTGCAGCTTTGCAAGCCACACTGTCTCTGTCACAACTACTCAGCTCTGCCATGGCAGCAGAAAAGCAGCCACAGAGGAGACAAATTTAAGTTATCATGGCTATGTTCCAGGGAAATTCTATTTATGGACACTGAAATTTAAATTTCATACAATTTCCATATGTCACAAAATAGTCTTCTTTCTAATCATCTAAAAATGTTAAAAAAAAAAACAAAACTCGTAGCTCATGAGGTTGCACAAAAACAGGCCAAGGGAGACTTAGCTATTGGCTGCAGTTTACAAAGTCCTGTTGGGAAGTAAGAAGGCAGAGAAACACACTCTATCTTAGGCCCCAACACTCCAAACCAGGTCTACTTCTCCACACCCAGCAAGGGAAGTCACCCATGGATGGTGTGCTCCTCCCTGCACTGCTCTCCCAACTTGCCTGTATTTGGGATCCTTCCTGCTGGGAGCATCCGGGTCTGTGAGGACCAAGGTGTACAGTTTACCGGGATCAAGACCATCCCACTCAATGCTGCTGGGTCTGTTCTTAACCTGTAGAAAGGAACCAGTTTGATATTAAAAAGACAGAAATGCTGAAGAAATCAATGCTCTTTCTTCAAACTCACACTCCCTAAAGCTAAAACAGAGTAGATTTTTTGGGGATTGGGGGTTTAGTGGGGTTTGAACTCAGGGCTTTGCTCTTGTCTAAGGGCTCTACCATTTATTCCCTTACCCTTTTCTTTAGTTTGTTTCAGACAGGGTCCCACTTTTGCCCTGGCCAGTCTCTGACTTCATCATCCTCCTACTGCCTGAGACACTGTGTGTGTGTTTATGTGTGTGTGTGTCCTAGCATGTTTTTAATAAAGCCGTGTGTGTGTGTGTGTGTGTCCTAGCATATGTGTGTATCCTAGAATGTCTGGGCATGCATATGTGTGTATCCTAGCATGGTTTTAATAAAACCACAGGGGACAAGATTCCCACCCCGGCACTGGGTCCTCCCTGAATGTCAAGGTCTCTGAATTTGGTGATCAGGAGGTGACTTGCTAAAGTAAAGCCTGCCTTAACTGGACATTTAAAAGGCAAAGTCTACAGAAACTCTGGGTGGTGAGGTGGTTAGGAAGTCTGCTCTGCTTCCTTAACCAACAACTGGCAACCAATTTTGAGCAGCTCCGGCTAGGGAAATCAGAGACCAAAAGCAAAGCCAGAAAACAACAAAAGCATTGTCCTGCCGCCTTCCAGCTGCAGAACCCACTCACTCGGGGTGACCACTCGCTCTCGACCGCCACAACAAAGGCCATCAGCGACGGGAACTCTCATCCTCGCTTACATAATGCGTCACCGGCTCTCCGGGCGAGGTGGGGGCGGGGAGCGCTATCCAAATTCAGCATTTTTTATCCCAAAATGCAGAGACCCCAGGAGCAGATCTGGGGGCATCAGGCGGGACACGGCCCACTCTGTCCCGGGCACGACCCCTCCCCGGTGCTGCCCCCAGGATCGGGGCTGTTTCTGGGCCTAGCTCCCTCAGGGGCCTGGAAGCCCTAGGAAAGTGGATCAGTGTCCTCCGTGGGCCGGGATGCGTCCGGGGCCCGCGGCGTGGGCCTGGAGACCTCGTCCACCGTCCCCACCATGGGCACGAGGCCTCTCGCCGCCCCGGGGTACCTGGGTGGGCGTTAGCACTTTGCCCAGCTCGTCCACCTCCACCCCTCCGTAGGTGACGCGCAGTGGGTGCTGGGGACGCTCGTCCACCTCCTGCAGGCTCAGAGGCCCGGACCACTTGCTGAGGTCGGCCGGCATGGCGACGCTGTGCGAGCGGTTCGGCGCGGAGTGCGGCGCGAGGACACGCGCCAGATAACAGCGCAGAATCTGCGCGGACCGCAAAGTGGCGGGATGGCGCAGGCTCAGTGACCACATAAGTGCATGCGCACGGGCCGCCGCCCCGCCCCCGCCCGCCCGTCCAATCCACAGCAACGCCCGACCCACTCGCTCTCTGATTGGCTCAACTCGGGAGGGCGGAGCAGCTCGTGTTTCCGGGTCAAGGCCACCTGCTACGTGCCGCCCCTGAGCTCTGCGGCGCCGTAGCGAGGCCTGCGAGGGTGTTGCTCCCCAAATTGCAATCGGATCAGTCTGTATTGTTTTTATTTTGGCTTTGCCGTTTTGCATGAAATCTTTGCACTACTCCCTCAATGCAAATGATGAGGCCTTGCTTTTTCTCTTCCACTTCTTAGAACGACCCCGATTTTCCTTGCTTTGCTGTATTTTCAGGGAAAAACTGTCCAGTAGGAAGGCGTGGGCGAGCTTTTGAGCATTTTCTCCACGGACAAATATATTTAATCATATATTTGATTTTCCCCGCCCTTGACCCTGCGGCATGCTGAAGAATGATTTTTTTTTTTTTTGAGAAATTAGTTTTTAAAACCACAACTGTTCCTATTTGCTGACAAGTGACTCCACCTCCATCAAAACCTCTTGGACTGTGACATTCTTTTTGCTGAATATAATGAGCGCTTATCTGATTTGACTCTAGGACAGCCTGTGCCACTGATAACTCCTCCTAGAGCATAAAAATTATCTGTTGTTTTATTACAAAATAATACAGGTTCTTTGTAGAAAATTCAGAGGGAAAATACCCCCAAATAAGTAAATAAAAATCCCTTTAGCCCTCTACTTAGATATGAGCATCCATAACAATGTAGGCTGTATCTTTCTAATTTAAAAACTATGAGTATAAGGGCTGATGGAATAACTCAGGTGGTAGAGCGCCTGCCTAGCAAGTGTGAAGCCTTGAGTTCAAACCCCAGTACTGCCCAAGACGATGAGAGACAAATGATCTCAGTGGTAGAGCATTTGCCTGGCATGCCTGAAGGCCTAGGTTTGATCCCCAGCACCAAAAATATTTTTTTAAAGTATGAGTTAGATGATTTCATTCTGGTTTTTTTCACCAAAAGTTGCATTACATTCTACCATTACAGAAGATCTCTATCAAAACAAGTCATTCAATTAATGACTTGTTCTGATCCAACAAAGCTGTTGTTGGAAGTTTACTCTTTTGTTTTTTTTTTCTTTACAAATATCATTGAAATGAGCAGCCTTATATATAATGCATATAACATATTATAGTCTTGTATATTATATAGTGTATAATATAATGCACTTGGCAGGTTGTTTTAGAATAATTTTAATAGACTTTTTTTTCATTTATTAGATTATCCATTTAAAAGGACTGAATCACAGTTAGTTATGTGTCAGAGTCCAGACAAAGCCATGCCTTGGTCCATGAATGATTATCAATTCTGCCTTCATTCCTTCCAGAAATGCATTTTCAGAACCTTGTAAACAAAAGGAGAGGCAGCCCTGTCCTCCAGAGCACGTGGTCTAGCAGTGGAGAGACACTCATCAAACGACACTGAGGACATTCAGGATTGCAAACTGATCTGCAGCCAGGAGAGAAGGCAGGCCCAGATGTGTCAGCCTCGGAGCACAACCTGCATGGATTCTGGACCCCCCCACACACGCACAAACACAGGCACAGACAGATGACCTTGGGAAAGTCTTAGGGCAAGGATGAAGCTGTAACTAAATTCTCCCAAAACTAATGAACCAATAAAGAAATGGGCATGTGAACTAAACAGAACTTTCTCAAAAGAAGAAATTCAAATGGCCAGAAAACACATGAAAAAATGCTCACCATCTCTAGCAATAAAGGAAATGCAAATTAAAACCACGCTAAGATTCCACCTCACCCCTGTTAGAATAGCCATCATCAGCAACACCACCAACAACAGGTGTTGGCGAGGATGCGGGGAAAAAGGAACCCTCTTACACTGTTGGTGGGAATGTAGACTAGTACAACCACTCTGGAAAAAAATTTGGAGGCTACTTAAAAAGCTGGACATCGATCTACCATTTGATCCAGCAATACCACTCTTGGGGATATACCCAAAAGACTGTTACTCCAGAGGCACCTGCACATCCATGTTTATTGCGGCACTATTCACAATAGCCAAGTTATGGAAACAGCCAAGATGCCCCACCACTGACGAATGGATTAAGAAAATGTGGTATCTATACACAATGGAATTTTATGCAGCCATGAAGAAGAACGAAATGTTATCATTCGCTGGTAAATGGATGGAATTGGAGAACATCATTCTGAGTGAGGTTAGCCTGGCCAAAAGACCAAAAATCGTATGTTCTCCCTCATATGTGGACATTAGATCAAGGGCAAACACAACAAGGGGATTGGACTTTGAGCACATGATAAAAGCGAGAGCACACAAGGGAGGGGTGAGGATAGGTAAGACACCTAAAAAATTAGCTAGCATTTGTTGCCCTTAATGCAGAGAAACTAAAGCAGATACCTTAAAGCAACTGAGGCCAATAGGAAAAGGGGACCAGGAACTAGAGAAAAGGTTAGATCAAAAAGAATTAACCTAGAAGGTAACACCCACGCACAGGAAATCAATGTGAGTCAACTCCCTGTATAGCTATCCTTATCTCAACCAGCAAAACCCCTTGTCCCTTCCTATTATTGCTGATACTCTCTCTACAACAAAATTAGAGATAAGGGCAAAATAGTTTCTGCTGGGTATTGAGGGGGGGAGAAGGAGGGGGCGGAGTGGGTGGTAAGGGAGGGGGTGGGGGCAGGGGGGAGAAATGAACCAAGCCTTGTATGCACATATGAATAATAAAAGAAAAAGAAAAAAAAAAAAAAAAGGATGAAGCTGTGACAAGCTAGGTGATGGATACAAACCCTCTTGGAAAGAAATTCCAAATAGTTCTGCTATTACTGCCGTTCTTGTCCCTTCCCCCAACAAGCAGTAAATCACCAGGCTTATAAATTCTACCTCCTAGCACCTGCACACCCATGTTTATTGCAGCACTATTCACAATAGCCAAGTTATGGAAACAGCCAAGATGCCCCACCACTGACGAATGGATTAAGAAAATGTGGTATCTATACACAATGGAATTTTATGCAGCCATGAAGAAGAATGAAATGTTATCATTCACTGGTAAATGGATGGAATTGGAGAACATCATTCTGAGTGAGGTTAGCCTGGCCCAAAAGACCAAAAATTGTATGTTCTCCCTCATATGTGGACATTAGATCAAGGGGAAACACAACAAGGGGATTGAACTTCGATCACATGATAAAACGAGAGCACACAAGGGAGGGGTGAGGATAGGTAAGACACCTAAAAAACTAGATAGCATTTGTTGCCCTCAACACATAGAAACTAAAGCAGATACCTTAAAAGCAACTGAGGCCAATAGGAAAAGGGGACCAGGAACTAGAGAAAAGTTTAGATCAAAAAGAATTAACCTAGAAGGTAACACACACACAGGAAATCAATGTGAGTCAATGCCCTGTATAGCTATCCTTATCTCAACCAGCAGAAACCCTTGTTCCTTCCTATTATTGCTTATACTCTCTCTTCAACACAATTAGAAATAAGGGCAAAATAGTTTCTGCCGGGTATTGAGGGGTCGGGGGCGGGGGGAGGGGGAGGGGCAGAGTGAGTGGTAAGGGAGGGGGTGGGGGCAGAGGGGAGAAATGAACCAAGCATTGTATTCACATATGAATAATAAAAAAAATTTAAAAATTAAAATAAAATAAATAAATAAATTCTACCTCCTTAATACCCCTCCAGTGGGTATCATTCTTCTTGATCTAAGCCTTCACTCTTCCTTCTAGCCCCTCCTCCCATGCCCTTGGATCTTTCCCAGATATAAATCAGGTGAAATTACTCCCCAATGCCCCCTCCCCTTACCCTAAAGTCCACTGTCGCTCCCTATTTCCTCAAGATTAAGTCCAGACTCATTAGGTCCCTGCAGACTCCTTGCATTCCCTCCAAACCCCTGAGTGTGCTCAGTGAATATGGCTTGACTGGCTCCAACCCTTATCTCTTAGAGTGTCCCAGCACTAACGGGACAGAGAAAGACAGTGAGGCACAGGCAGATCTAGGGGTGAGTGTGCAGGTCAGGGTGCTCCAATTTGTTGATCATTTCCACTACAGCATGCCAGGCCCTGTCCCTCAGTGTCCCTGACACAACCCCTTGAAAGAGATGCTATCATTATCCCCACTTCATAATTAGATAAACTGAGGCCTGGAGGAGAGGCAGAAGTCAGAAAGCACAGTGAGCGCCCGCCTGGCTCCAAAGACTGTCACTTCAGCTGGAGGTGATGCAGGCATGGTGTCAGCCTCCATGAAGCTTTCTCCTAGTGAGGATAGTCCATGGCAAGTTACCATGACGACCCTGCCTAGCAGCCATGAATGCATCACTCAGATCTCTGACCACTGGAGATGAAATCAACCAGGCCCCAGCTTCTGGGCTCTGCTTTTTTGCCAAGGCTATCTTGGGCAGGCAGGGGGGCCACAGCTAATGACTTAAGTTGGCAGGGAAGCCAAGGCAGGTGAGACACTGAGACACACAGATTTCCCTGGAGCTGCCCTGCAGGCTCCTTCCTGCTTCCTGCATCCAGAGTCAGGTGACTCTCCCTGCCTTCCCTTTCCCTTTCATTTTCTCTCACAGCCATTTCCCCTAATAAATTCCTTGCACATCTAATCCCATCTCATCGTCAGCCTCTCCAGTGACCAAGAGTGACACACTCTGTTATGGTTTGGATATGAAGTAAAACGCCCCAAAAGGCCCGTGTGTCATAACCTTAGTGCCCAGTTGGTGGCGCTGTTGAGAGGTGATTGGATCATGGGGCACCAACCTCAACAATGGATTCAAATCACACTCCTGCCCCCCCCAGCCCTCCCTCCCTGGCTGCTCTGAGGTGAGCAGCTTTCCTCTGCTACACCCTTCTGCCCTGATGTTTCTGCCTTGCCACAGGCCTGAAAATAAATGAGACAGCAGCTCAAGGACTGAAAACTATGAGCCCAAATAAATCTTTGTTCCTTTTAAGTCGTTTTTCTTGGGTATTTTGTCACAGTGATGAAAAGTGAGAGCATTTGCTCCCAGGGTTGTTGTGTGTGGCTGATCCGTTTTGTTGAATGGAGCATTTGTGTCAGCAGGGGACCCCAATCATAATGATACAAGCAGTAAGGGTGGATAAGGTCAAAGGGTCAGGGAAGGGAATGTCATTTTATTTATTGTTTTTAACCTGTAAAAAGTTTAAAACTTTCAAGCTGGGTGCCAGTAGCTCACACCTGTAATCCTAGCTACTTGGGAGGCTGAGATAGGGAAGATTGTGCAAGGCCAGCCCAGACAAAGGGTTTGCAAGACCCCATCTCCAAAATAACCAGAGCAAAATGGACTAGAGGTGTGGCTCAAGCACCTGTTTTGCAAGTGCAAAGCCCTGAATTCAAACCCCAGTCCCACAAAAAAAAAGAAAGTTACACAGCTGTCTAAAGGCAGGGGCATAAGAACCAGAATGAGCTCGCTTGCCAGATCCACCACCCAGGGAGTCACCTTGGGGTAAGGACAGTTGGCAGGAGAATGGGGTCTCAAAGAGGTCCCCACCCTAATGTCTGGAATGTGTGACCATGTGACATTGCAAGGCAAATGTCATCTGGGTGGCCCCCTCATCACAGGGACTTTAAGTAGGGAAGAGAAAGGCAGGATGGTCAGAGGAGTGGCACAATGAAGACAGACTAACAGCCCTTGACAGCCCTGAAGACAGAAGGGACTGTGGACCATGGTGTGCAGGCAGCCTCTAGGAGCTAAGAGAGCAAGGAAATGGATTCATCCCCACAGCCTCCAGAAGGAATCTGCCCTGAGGACATTTTTGATGTTAGCCCAGTAAGTTCCCTCCCCCCATTTTTTCCCCAGTACTGAACTCAGGGCCTACACCTTGAGCCACTCTACAAGCCCTTTTTTGTGATGGGTTTTTTCGAGATAGGGTCTCAGGAACTGTTTGGGCTGACTTTGAACTGTGCTCCTCCTGATCTCTGCCCCTCTCCCCCATTTTTAGTATTTCTATTTCCACCAAATTTTATTTTCATTCTTTTTTACAACATACGTATATGATCAACATAAAATGCACACACACTTCTGCCTCATCTCTTGTGGAATATTCTATTTTGGGCCTTTTCTAGTATGTAAATTGCAATGGTTTGGGTAAGTGTTCACCAAAGGCCCATGTGTGAAAGGCTGGGTCCTGAACCCTGATGCCACCGAGAGGTAGTGTAGCCTTTAGGAGGTGTGAGGCCTAGTGGGAAGTCTTAGCTCATGGGGTGGCCCGTAAAGAGGATGGTGGCATTCTCTCCTCTTGAGCTGTCTTCCACTTTCAGCCATCAGGTGACAGTTTTATTCTGTCATGACCTCCCATGTTGCCTCATCACAGGCCCCAAATCAATGGAGCCAACTGGTCATAGATTAGAACCTCCAATACTGTGAGTCAAAACCTTTTCTCTTTATAAGCTGATTATCGCAAATATTTGTTTCAGTGTTGGAAAGCTGTCTAATACATAAATATTTTTCAAAAACTGTGTATGTTAGCCAGTTATGCTCGGACATGCTTGTAATTCAAGCACTTAGGAAACTGAGGCAAGAGGATCAAGAGTTCGAGGCCAACCTTGGCAAGTTTCAGGCCAGCCTGTGCTACTAGTGAGATCTTGTATCAAAAACAAAAAAGTATTTTAGAACAATTACCTAATACAAATGTACCGTAAATTATTTAATCATCAATTTGTTGTTAGATGTGAAGGTTGTTTGTCATTTCCTCCCTCTTTTGACATTTCAGGAGAGTGCCCCAGGCTTCAATCCCACTGAGAAGAGACCCTCGGTGGTCTGCTGTGAGCAGAGACTTTTGAGATGTCTTCAGGGGCAGGGGCAAGGCAGTTTGACCAAGAGAGAGCCACATTTCCTAAACAGAGAGGAAGAGCTGGATATTCCTGCAAACGTCTACAGAAAGTGTAGTCTTTATGCAGAAACCGGCAAGTGCCCTAAAAATCCAGGTCAATATCCAGCCTGGGGGTGGGGAAGAGGGTGGTTGGGAGTCCCGGGCATGCCGTAGGTGCTCAGTATTTGCTGATAACTCAGAATACTGCTCCTGTATTTTGTTACTCAGCTCTGTGTACTCTAACAAATGCCCAGGATAATCCACTTATAAAGAGAAGAGGTTATTTTGGCTCACAGTTTTGGAGGTTTCAGTCCACAGTGAAGGGACCTCATTGATTTTGGGCCTGTGGCAAAACAGGCGGTAGAGCAAAGATACTCACCTCTTGGCAGCCAAGAGAAGGAGAGGAAAAGGAAGAGACCAGGCTCCCACAGTCCCTCTCTCCCTCCCTCCCTTTCCTTTTCTTTTTCTTTTTTGGTGGGCCTGGGGTTTGAACTCAGGGCTTTATGTTTGCAAAGCAAGCATTCTACTGCTTGAGCCACACCTCCAGTTCATTTTGTTCTGGTTATTTTGGAGATGGGGAGGGGTCTCACGAACTATTTGCTTGGGCTGCTTAGCCTCCCAATCTCAGCCTCCTAAGTAGCTAGGATTACAGATGTGAGCCACCAGCGCCTGGCCACAATCCCTTTCAAGGATATGCCCCAATGACCTAAAACCTCCCACTAGGCCCCACCTCTTAAAGGTTCTACCACCTCCCAATAGTGCCATGGGTGGGGTCCAAGCCTCTAATACATGGGTCTTTGGGAGGTATTTAGGATCCAAATTTTAGTATGTATTAAAGGAGGCGGGATAGTAATAGGAAAGAGCGAAAAGAGAAAGACATTTCATATTTATCAGCACACGTATAGTGCTCAGTGTCAATGGTTTGCTCCGTGTACCTGGGCTGGGAGCTCCGTTGACACTGGCTGTGGGGAGACTCGAATGAATGAGCCTGTAAAACCACAGTTGTTTTTGCTCGCTGAATGAGGGCAGGAAATTCTCTGATGTGGCGTTTCTGTGGAATGGCTGCATTCCAGAGTTACTCACTAGGAACGTGCTCAGTAAGGGAGAGCTGGAGCTCCATTCTGTGGCCACAACTTGTGCTCAGAAACTGTCATTGTGGTCGTCACTGTGACTTGGAATGATGACTCAGGGACAGTGGAGCTGGTTTCTGTCCAAGGATCTGAGCATTGTTATGGAAATTGACCCAGATCTAACTGGTTTCTGGGATTCCACTTTTTTTTTGAAATAAATTTTTATTAGGATATATTCATGATATGGAGGGGTTCATAGTGACAATTCCAATTAGACTTGCATTGTACATTAGTTACCTTGCCCCCACCATCTTTTCCCCTCAGCCCCCTCCCCACCCTGCTTAAAGTAATTGTGAGAAGTTTCTAGTTCTGTTTCATATAGGTATATGAAGTCATCTACCATATACCCTCACCTTAATCTCCTTAGTTCACCCCCCTCCCACTAGTACCCCTCCCCACTGTACCTATTTTACAGTCTTGGTTTTCATAATTAATATATTAATATTTGAGTTAACGTTTAAAGGGGTGTCTCAATGGATGGCCTCTGTGGGGGTGCTTTACTTTGGTCTGTTCAATCCTTTCCATTGCTCTCCCTCACCCCTTTACCTTCTGCCCCTCATTTTTCAACAGCTTTCAATACACATCCTTAAATCCTCTACCTTCACTTCTTTTGGTGTGCAATATTACTGATGATCTGTCATTCTCTTTTCCGTTCTCTCTTTCCCTGAGTTCCATACAGTAGTTCCGCTGTTACAAGCATGTTGTACTTCTGAGCTTTTGTACGATCATGCTTGTTTTTGTGTGTTTATCTTTGGATCTATCTTCCACATACAAGAGAAAACATGCAGCCTTTGTGTTTCTGATCCTGGCTTACTTCACTTAACATGATGTCCTCCAATTGCATCCATTTCCCTTCAAGCCTCATGTCATTATTCCTTGTGACTAAGACTCCATTGTGTGTATGGACCACATTTTCTTGATCCATTCATCAGTTGTAGGGTTATTTCCAGAGCGTGGCTGTTGTCAATAGTGCTGTGATGAACGTCGTGTACAGGTGTCTCTGCTGTATCCTGTCACACGTCCTTTTGGGTAGATGCCCAGGAGCGTATCACTGGATCATATGGCAGTTCTATCTGTAGTTTTTTGAGGAATCTCCATACTGCTTTCCATAGTGGTTGTTCTAATTTACATTCCCACCAGCAGAGTGTAAGGGTTCCTGTTTTGCCACCTCCTCACCAGCGATTGTTGTTATTACCCTTGATCATGGCCGTTCTAACTGGGGTGAGATGAAATCTAAGTGCTGTTTTGATTTGCATCTCTTTCATAACCAGGGAAGTTGAACACTTCTTCGTGTATTTACTGACCATTTGTACCTCTTCCTTTGAGAATTCTCTGTTTAATTCATGTGCCCATTTCTTCATTGGGATGTTGGTTCTTTGTGGGCTCAGTTTTTTCATTCCTTGTAGATTCTGGATATTAGTCCTTTGTTGGATGAGTAGCTGGCAAAATCCCATTCTGTGGGTGGGATTTCACTTCTTGGGATTTTTGATATCGAGATTTTTGTTTTTCTCTTTGGAATTTCAAAAGCTTTAAAATTGCTTTACATTTTTTTTTTTTTTATGATACTGGGGTTTGAACTCAGGATTTCACCCTTGTGAAGCAGGCACTCTACCACTTGAGCCACTCCTCCAGTCTTTGATCTGGTTATTTTGGAGATGTGGTTTCGAGAACTATTGCTCAAGTTGGTCTCCAACTTCAATCCTCCCTATTTCAGCCTCTTAAGTACCTAGGATTACAAGCATGAGCCACTGGCACTCAGCTTATTTTACATCTACATAAAATATTTCTTGAAAAGCATTAGCCAGGATGTTAATTTAAAAAAAATTTTTTTTGCAGTATTGGGGCTTGAACTCAGGACCTACACCTTCTGCCACTCCACCAACCCTTTTTTGTGATTTTTTTTTTTCTGAAAAACCTTGATTCTCCTGATCTCAGCCTCCTGAGGAGCTGGGATTACAGGCATGTAATTTTTATTTTATTCATATGTGCATACAATGTTTGGGTCATTTCTCCCCCCTTCCCCCCACCCCCTCCCTTACACCCTCCTTCCTCCCTTACCCTCCCCCCTTACCCCTCGCTACCCTAGGACATTTATTTTTAAAACTATCAAATTCTAGCTCTGCAAACACTCAAAACAGAATTTCCATATGACTCAAGAGTGTCACTTCTGGGCATATATCTGAAAGAACTCAAAGCTGGACTTGAAGAAGTATTTGCACTTTTGCTTTCATTGTAGCGTTATTCACAATAGCTGAGAGATGGAGTAACATCCACGGACCCGAAACGGATGACGAACGAATAAACCAAATGCGGTCGATATACCCTGTCAAATGTCATCCAGGCTTAAAATGGAAGCTGAGAGATGGTGGCTCACACCTAGAATCCTAGCTACTTGTGAGGCTGAGATCAGGAGGATCGCAGTTCAAGGCCAGCCCAGGCAAATAGTTCGAGAGACCCTATCTCGAAGAAAAATATCACAAAAAAGGCCTGGTGGAGTGGCTCAAGGCGTAGGCCCTGAATTCAAGCCTCAGTACTAAGAAAAAAAATTTTTAAATAAGATATAAGAAAGAAAATATATGAAAGCAAGCAAATTCTAATACTTAACACAACAGAAAGAGGAAAGTCTGACCGACGAACGATGCGGATGAAGTTTGAAAGCATCATGCTGGGGAAATTCCAAGATGGCGCTAGAGGGAGGAAGCAGAAAGCGACCCTCCTATAGTGAAATCTTGGAGAGATGCTGGAGACACACTTTGCAGGCATAATCACCGAGAAAAGGCATAACTTTGACTCCTCCACACCTCCAGCCAGCGCAGAGAATCTCCACTTCACGTTAAACGGAGAACCGAGGAGGCCCCCGGGCTGCCAGTGGCCGGCGCCCACACGGCTTGGGAAGACGCGGACCAGGTGAGCTTCGCGGTACCGCGGTTCCCCCACAGACAAGCCTGGGCCAGAGCAGCATAGCCCCCTGGACAGACTGACCTCCACCCGGGAAAAAAGAGAAACTGAGTACTAAGCAATAAGAACAGTTAAGACACGCTGGAAAGAGGGTGGGGCGCCCTGAGCGCTGAAGATTGGGGGAAGGGTCCTTCCGGGACTGTAAATAAACGAGCCGGGCGGGCCGGAGAGGCTCTGGCGGGAGCGGGGCGCGCCAGCAACCAGGAGCGGACGCTTGTGGAGGAGGGAAGACCCACTTCCCACGTGAACTGTAAATAAACACGCAGGCCTGACAACGCGGGGCAGTGTCGCCTTTCCCAGTGCTTGGAAAGGGAAAAGCCTGTAGCAGAGGCTCCCGCACAGGAGAACTCTGAGCAAACAAAGCCTGTGGGACCAGGTGAGTGCTAAGCTCACCCCAGAGATCTGCATAAATAACGCCGCCAGCTACAGGCTGAGAGCAGCAGGCAGGCAAGCCACAGTTGCAGATACCACTCTCAGAACTCTCCAGACGCTTTTTTTTCTTTTTCTCCCTACCTTTGATGAGAGAACAACCGAATTACACCTGCAAGCCGAAAAACTTACTGAAACTGTATTGCATTTGAACTGGGGACACTTGGTGGGGCTTTTTTTTTTTTTTTTTTCTGTGTGTGTGTGAGTGTGTTTTGTTCTACTTTATGCATCCCCTTTGATGAGACAACTACAGAACAACATCTGAGGCACCAACTCCAGGACTGGAGATTGAGACGGACATCCAAATTATTAAGACTGAAATTGCATTGCATATAAACTTGGAAGTTTTTTGGTTTTTTTTTTTTTTAATTTTCTATTTTCCATTTTATTTTAATTCATTTTTATAAATAGATATTACTTTCATATACTTATTTTTTATTTTTTTTATCTTTGATTTTCAATCCTCTCTCTGTCCCTCTATTGTCTGTTCAGCTTACTGTCGATTAGTACACTAACACTCCCTGTTTATACCTTTGAAACTCTCTTGTCTGATACCTTGTTCTGCTTTCTCCCTCTTGTCTGTATATTTGTTTTCCCCTTTTCTTTAACTTCTTGCTTTCCATCTCAGCTCACTCTTCCATTCTCAATATTACCATTGTTATTATTACAAGCTAGAAAATACTTAATTACACACAGTACAGGGACAGTAACAAACCAAGGACAATGACAGGAAGACAGAAAAAACAAGGAAACCAGTTTCCCCACAGCAAAAAATTAGTACAGGAACCAGAGGGGAATGAAGAGAACAGAAACTCAGATCCAGACTCCAACAAAATGAAGATAAACTATGCCAAAGGACCCAATGAAGCCCACAAGAATAATTTAAAAGAAGACATACTACAAGTACTCAATGAGAATTTTATAGAGATGATACTGGATAGGGTCAACCAAAATGTACAGGAGACACTCAAGAAATTCCAAGACAATAAAAATAGAGAATTTGAAAAAGCAAAAGAAGAAATAAAGGAAACCATAGAAGCACTGTATAAACACCAAAGTGAAAGAGAGAACACAATGAATAAATGGATAAATGAACTCAGGACAAAAATAGACAACAATAAAGAAGAAAACAGCCAGGATATGGAAAACCTCAGAAAAAAGAACGAAACAGAACTGCAAAACAAAACGGAAGGCCAATCCAGCAGAATAGAACAAACAGAAGACAGAATCTCAGAACTTGAAGATGAAATGGTAATTAAAGGAAAAACTGAAGAACTATTAATTAAACAACTCAAGACCTGTGAAAAGAAAATGCAAGAACTCACTGACTCCATCAAAAGACCAAACTTGAGAATCATGGGCATCGAAGAAGGAGAAGAGGTGCAAGCGAAGGGAATGCGTAATATATTCAACAAAATAATAACGGAAAATTTCCCAAATCTAGAGAAAGATATTCCCATACAAATGCAAGAGGCCTCCAGGACACCAAACAGACCAGATCAAAATAGAACTACTCCACGACATATCATCATTAAAACAACAAGTTCAGAAACTAAGGAAAGAATATTGAAGGCTGTAAGAGAGAAAAAACAAGTAACATACAAAGGTAAACCCATCAAAATCACAGCAGACTTCTCAACAGAAACATTAAAAGCAAGAAGAGCGTGGGGTGAGATCTTCCGGGCACTGAATGAAAATAACTTCAACCCCAGGATACTCTACCCAGCAAAGCTATCATTCAAAATAGATGGAGCAATAAAAGTCTTCCATGATAAGCAGAAACTAAAACAATATGTGACCACAAAGCCACCATTACAAAAGATTCTGCAAGGGATCCTGCACACAGAAAGTGACACCCAACTTAACCATGAAAAGGCAGGCAGCACCAAACCACAGGATAAGAAAAAGCAAGACAGTAGAGAGTAACATCAAGTTAGGTACACACAATCAAACCTTCAAACAACTAAGATAACTAAATGGCAGGAATCACCACATACCTATCAGTACTAACACTTAATGTTAATGGACTTAATTCACCCATCAAAAGACACCGTTTGACAAAATGGATTAAAAAAGAAGATCCAACAATTTGTTGCTTACAGGAGACTCATCTCACCGACAGAAATAAGCATATGCTTAGGATGAAAGGCTGGAAGAAGATTTACCAAGCCAATGGCCCCCGAAAACAAGCAGGAGTAGCAATACTTATCTCTGACAAAGTAGACTTCAAACCTACATTGATCAAACGAGATAAAGAAGGACATTCCATACTAATAAAAGGGGAAATAGACCAAAAGGAAATAATAATCATCAATCTGTACGCACCCAATGTCAACGCACCCAATTTCATCAAACATACCCTGAAAGACCTAAAAGCATATATAAACGCCAACACAGTGGTTGTGGGAGACTTTAACACTCCATTATCATCAATAGATAGGTCATCCAAACAAAAACTCAATAAAGAAATCCAAGATCTAAAATATGCAATAGATCAAGTGGACCTAGTAGATGTCTACAGAACATTTCATCCAACCTCTACACAATATACATTCTTCTCAGCAGCCCATGGAACCTTCTCCAAAATAGATCATATCCTAGGGCACAAAGCAAGCCTCAGCAAATATAAGAAAATAGAAATAATACCGTGCATACTATCTGACCACAATGCAGTAAAAGTAGAACTCAACAACAAAAGTAAAGACAAAAAACATGCAAACAGCTGGAAACTAAATAACTCATTACTTAATGAAGAATGGATCATCGATGCAATAAAAGAGGAAATTAAAAAGTTCCTGGAAGTCAATGAAAATGAAAACACAACCTACCGGAACCTATGGGACACAGCTAAGGCAGTTGAGAGGAAAGTTTATAGCCATGAGTGCATATATTAAAAAGATTGAAAGATCCCAAATCAATGACCTAATGATACATCTCAAACTCCTAGAAAAACAAGAACAAGCAAATCCCAAAACAAATAGAAGGAGAGAAATAATAAAAATAAGAGCTGAAATCAACGAAATAGAAACCAAAAAAACCATACAAAGAATTAATGAAACAAAAAGTTGGTTCTTTGAAAAAATAAACAAGATCGATAGACCCCTGGCAAACCTGACTAAAATGAGGAGAGAAAAACCCAAATTAGTAGAATCAGGAATGCAAAAGGGGAGATAACAACAAACACCATGGAAGTCCAGGAAATCATCAGAGACTACTTTGAGAACCTATATTCAAATAAATTTGAAAATCTAAAGAAATGGACAGATTTCTAGATACATATGATCATCCAAAACTGAACCAAGAGGAAATTAATCACCTGAATAGACCTATAACACAAAATGAAATTGAAGCAGCAATCAAGAGTCTCCCCAAAAAGAAAAGTCCAGGACCTGATGGATTCTCTGCTGAATTCTATCAGACCTTTAAAGAAGAACTGATACCAACCCTCCTTAAACTGTTCCATGAAATAGAAAGGGAAGGAAAACTGCCAAACACATTTTATGAAGCCAGTATTACACTTATCCCAAAACCAGGCAAAGACACCTCCAAAAAGGAGAACTATAGGCCAATCTCCTTAATGAACATTGATGCAAAAATCCTCAACAAAAATAATGGCAAATCGAATTCAGCAACACATCAAAAAGATTATTCACCACGACCAGGTAGGCTTCATCCCAGGGATGCAGGGTGGTTCAACATACGAAAATCAATAAACAGTAATAACCACAT